GACCCCACAACAGGTTGCACAGAGATCCTTATATACCAAACATATTTACTAAATCTATACAAATGGAAATCATGGAACATACCTTCTGTTTTAACTAATACAGTTCATTTTAAGATACAAAGCAAATATAAGACTGCTCTCATTTGTGGGTTTTTTTCCCCCTGAAGAAACAACAGACATGAGATATGTACATTTAAATTCTAATATACAACATCATATTAAATATGGATGCATAGCATTAAGAAATCAAACTTAAAAAAGGAAAAAATAAATCTGAAACAGCATTGAGCGTTAGAGTATTTATAGTAGTATTTTTGTATTAAAAGTCTCATTTGTAAAGATACAATGCTTTCATACCTCATGAATATTTAATATTTTGTGGAAATGATCTATTTTTGGATGCCAACAATGCAATTTACAGTTAGAACATTCCATTGGAAAAACTTAAATTGGACTGAGTGCAAGCAAAAGGACTTATTGGCATGCAGCAAGTTCCAACTGGAAAGCTTTAACTGTGTATTTATAAAAAGACCCACGTTCCTGTAAAAACATCATGTCTGCCAAATGAACTACCCGGCCTCAGAAAGAAAATATCTATTAACCATGAAAAAAAAAAATAATCTTGATTTAGAGAATGAATTATAATCTTGCTTGGCACAAGAGTCCATTATAATTGCTCTAAAACAAAAAAAAAGTTAATATGATCAGTGTTGAGGGGAGGGAGACTAAAATTATGCCAAACAGCAAGATGCATTATGTCTCTAAAAAGTTGTCGTGTACAATATATTTACTCAGGTAAGAAATGTTTTCATTTTTACTGTAGAAAAACTATCTGCTAGATAATACTTCTCCAATACATTGTATCTGCATTCAGCTGACATTTAGGAAGGAATTTTAATAAAAATAACTGTTAAATATCATCAACTCAATAACCATTTTAAGAGATTACACTTTTCTTGTACTCCAGATCCAGTTGGCCTACAAGGATGAATCAGACTACCTGCAATGCTTTCAACTAGACAACTGCAGATTTCTCTCTCACTTTCTTTGGTTAGGAAGCACACAGACAAAAAGACAGACAAGAGATAAGCAAACAATCCTTCCTGTCAGCCACCTAAAGGAATCAATAAAGAATTTTAAAAGGTATGCATTAAAACAAGCTCTCTTATTATAGAGTTAATTCTCTGAAATGCACTAAAGCAATGAAAAAAAAATTCTCTCTGATAATGGAAAAGAGCTAGTTCTGTCAGTAGCTACCTTCACAATTAAACTCTGATCTCTGTCCTTAACTCTCAACTTCCATAAATTCCAGTGACTGACTTGAAAAATAAACCATGTAACCCCAAAACTAAAAACTTAATCCTTCCACCACCTTTAAAAAGGGCCACACATTACAGCTTAAGTTGTTTTTTTTTTTTTAAGTTATTTCAGTCTAGTCATTTCTCCAGTAACCAACATTTCTAAATTCAAACAGAAGTGTTACACATATTTTAAAAGTTCATCTGAAAAAAGATTTTATCTGATTATTTTTAAATTGTGTGGGGTTTTTTTTAAATCCACATCAGAGTCTGGCACAACTATAAACATAGAGTGCTACACATCCTCCACATATTCAAGGCACATAATTTTACACCTCAAACTCACCTTTTCTCTATATAGAAGACACATATTGCATTAATTTTATGATTTGGAGGAATGAATTATATCCTACAGAACTTCCCTGTTACTTTGAAATAAAAAGAGGAAGAGAAAAAGAAAGCTTTGTTATTTTAAACTGACACCAGAAACAGTTACGGCAAATTCAATTTTGGAACTGAATTCTGGAAATTCAGTTCTGATAATCCAAAACAGTGAGGATGGAAGAGGAAGCGAAGACTTGTCTGATTAGTGTGATCTAAAATTACTAAGTCGTCATTTCCAAAGCACCATTTATTCCATACATGATAGTCTATCACATCCGCGAAATAGGTCTGGAATAAAGATTAGAAGTCCAGGAGTGGCCTGTTTTGCATCCCACCTCTGAATGACCTTCCCTAGCCCACTACCTCCATCCAAATCTCCCTTAGAAACCTTTACAGTACACAAAACCACTAAACAATGTTCTCAGCAAAACCCATCACAAACAGAAAACCTTTACAAATTCCTACTTAATATTCATATTAGTGCTATTTTGATAATTTTTCACTTGATAGCTTTTCGATGCCCAACACTGAGAAATAAAATACAAAAGGTAGCCCCTCATCTACTGAGCAACTTATTTGTGCCTCTGAATACCTACGGCTCTCAGAGAACAAATATTTCTTCTTCAGAATTTAGTATTTTCTAGCCATTATTTACAACTTTTTCGCTGCAGCAGTGCTAAGACAATTGAGTCAATGGACACTAAGAACTTTACCCTTAAAAAAAAAAAAGAATCAAACCATAGATTTGACTTTCGGAAGAAAACGTTGCACATACAGACCAACCTGAATGAATCCATCCTGTGAAACACATCTATGGTTTCTAAAGCATCCACATGCAGAAATAAGGACAACTAGCCATGTGTTAATACCTGTTAGTAATTTGAAATGGCTAGTTATTTAAATGCCTCCTGAGTATCCAGGTGTAAATGCTCCTTGCCTAATGAAGGCAGCTTTTCAGAGTTAAAACATATTTATAATCAGTACTGCTACTGAATTATTTTTAAAGCAACTGAGAACAATTTCAGGAGAGCAGGTGGCCGCAACACCCTATACTTACAGTTTTTCATTAAATCTCAGTGTTTTCAACAAAGTAGGCCACTTCATAAGAAGAAATAAGTTCACAAAATATCTTGTCTTCTTTAGTCTTAAAACATTCCTGTTGCAACTATAGTGATTACTAATTTGATAAAGTAACTGAAATAAAAGATGCAATTTTAGCTACAGCATTGTTACTTCACAAAAAACCCCAAAACTATGATTTGCCTCCCACTATCCACCACCACCACCACCATTCATAAACTTTATTAAAATGTATAACAGATATTGAAGAAAAGCTGAATTCAGATTCCTATGGCAGGGAGCACAGAAAATAATTAAGAGTTTGTTAGAACAATCACAATAAAGAGCTGGGACACGTTCACTTCATAATAATAATAATAATAAATATTAACTTATCAGCTTAATTTTTGCAGGGGGTGGGAGGACTGTGGATTAAACTTGGTTCGCCACACAAACCTTTTTTTTCATCTGCAATGTAAACATCTACTACAAACACCATAAGATTGCTTAAAAATCTAAATGTAAGCAGTATTGTGTTTAACCAGATGTTTTCCCCTGCGGCATATCACCAAAACATCGTCTTTTACAAAATTTTCTAACTTCTCTAAAATCCATTGAAGTAAGAAGTATTCTACCTATAAATAAAGAATAACTACAGAGTCATGGGCAGATAATTACAGACTATACACACATTAGACATACTTAAAAAAAAATATATATATTTGACATTGTTATTCTGTCCAAACTAGTACATTCAGTGCAGAAAAGAAACATTTTGCTTCAGATTCCAGCTACACCAATTGAGCAATAGATAGAATAAATAAGTGTGCCAAAATTTTCATTATAATACTGTTACTTGAGATAAACAGAAAATGCAAACTAGATTTTGACAAGTCTCCAATGTCGTTATTTTGTCTTCAACGAATACACAAATTTGGGGGAAAAAAGCCAGACAGGTGTCATGGTGTTTTTGGCACAGGTAACTAACAAATACTTGAAGAGTTATTTAACGAAAATGCTAAATAGTAATTCCTTTCCCTACTTTTGTAGGGATATTAAAGCATCGCTTCACTCAAGTGAAGTAGAGCATTTTTTAATCTTTGCTGATGGCTTCTATCTCAGTAATATTTGGAGAATTTTGGCATACATACATGAAAGCCTCTGTATTCTATGTAGGTATTTGCATAAGACTAGTTACTGGTGGTGTTTGGAGCATTCACAATGTCACCACATAGATTAAGACGTCGCTGCTTTGAAAGCCAGGCATAAGAGTTAGCGAGACTTACGGACATCTCAAGTTTCCTATCTGCGGCTAGAACATTTAGCTAGTGGGACAAAATAACAGCACTTGGATAGCATGAAGAAAACATATAACCTAATGTTAATAGACTAGGGTAGGCTTTTAGTCACATGTCTCTATTTTATATAGCTGTTACTTCTTTTACCTGTTTATCAGTGTCTTTTGGTTACAGCCTGTCTGCCCGTTCTGCTACACCAGTGTCCCTACTCACATAAAGACGGGGTTTGTAACCGTTTCATTTGTACGTCACGGCTGTTCAGGAATTAAATCTAGTGAAAGAGAGATCAGTTTTAACCAGTTTGCTAAATGACTGCTAGAAACGCCGGTAACGCCGGGCAGCGCTGGTAACCTCTCAGGCCCTCTAACGCTAGCCGGAGACACCCCCCGCCGCCCCCAGCCCTGAGGCGCCACACACCGGCCGGCGCTCGCAGCCCAAAACCGACCCCAAAAAGGGGCGAACCGGCGCTGACCTCGTCCGACCGGCCCCGCACACCTCACGGCTCCGCGGGGGACCGCTCGCCCCGCGCCCCCGCCCCCCCTCCCCCCCCCCCCCCCCGCCGGGCCGGCCGCTCCCTCAGCCCCTCCGTTACCCGGCGGCCACCGGCGGGG